TGCCATCATTTCCTTTTGCTTTTGAGCTTATACTGTTAATTGCATGTTTTACCTCCAAGTCCGTTACATTGACAAATTTAAATGCTTTAATGTCATTCATTCTGTTGCCTCTATAATACTCAATCACGTTTTGATCAGGGCTAAAATTAGATCCCATGAAAATAAAATGCTTATTAATCTCATTGATGCTTGCAAAAGAATAATAATTTAGTTTACTATCCTCACCCCCTATACTGCAACTTCGTATGACTGACCAGAACTCATTTGGTTTTTTTGAATCATTCAGGGTTTTTATGTAATATGACTTCTTCGCTTTGTGTACTAATACATTTAAATGGTTTCTAATCGATTTGTACTGCTCCCAATCACAGCTATTTAGTTTTCAAATACTTCCTCCTTAATTGATTTTTTATCTTTGATAATTCATTTATTTCAGTAGTTCTCCGTGGCGATTTTTTCTTTTTAACACGCCTATGCACTATGGGAGCATGTTTATCAAAAATTATCCTTATATTTTGAGAGATGAATTGTTCAATTTCATTCACATTTAAAATTTGTTTAACACATCCCCAGTCCACTGCCGCCATATCTCTTACTGCACTTGCAATGTCAAATTTTGAAAAATCTCTGTATGATACCATTTTAGTTTTCATTTCATCCAGTTCAAACTCAATGCAGCCATGAATCATTTTGTGGTCAGTTATTTTAACTCCCCTATGGTCTCTTATGTTTGAGGTATCAATCACTCAACATCTAATTATTTTTGTGGTTTTTTCGACGATGACGTGGTCTATACGAGTGGATGACTCGGCAGTGACCCTGGTAGGCTCGTTTATCAGTTGGACTGTATTTGTACTTTGCAAGAGGCGTCTCATGTACTTGGCATCACTACGATCAGACAATAGGTCAATGTTTGTGTCGCCTAACAATATCACATTATCGACCTCAACTGCAAGATCGATAAAAGCTGCGTTAAACAATGTTTCTAATGTTGTGTACTTTGCATCAGGAGGCCTATACATAATACAAACGCCAAGTTTTACTCTTTTATTTATAATCGTGACAGAGATATGCTCAAGCTGAGGATCAACGTTGTTCAAGCTATTTACAACATATTTTAATGACTCATTTATGTAAAGAGCAACTCCCCCTCCAGTTTTGCCTTTGGCGTTGTCATTACTTTTCCTATCACATCTCAGAAAAGAAAAGCCAGGAATATTGTAGGTATTCGAGGGAGTGTGAGGGTCTAGCCATGTTTCTGAGACTCCTATAATGCCATCTTTGATTAAAGAGCATATCTCGTCAAAGCCAGTTCCTAAAGAGCGCATATTGATATGGGCAAATTTCATAAAACGCCTCTTGCTGACCCGTCGCCCAAACTCTCCGGGTGAAATTTCTTTTTTGGCATGTTTTTATCACATTGTTCCCCTTGATCTTGTAGGATGGATTGGTTCTGCGAAACATTGCCATTCAAAGCCCAACTGAAAACTTCGCTGAGTAACCTTTCTAACTGAGCGTTTCCTCCCATGTTGAGATGCCTCCCATCCCGAGCAAGATGACTCCTTCCAACCCAACAGTTTGCCTCCACAAACGAGACATTAAAGTTGCTACACATTAACTCTAACTGCTCATTGAAATCAAAGAGTGCTTTATATGTCAAGTCTGATCTAATCAAAATGCTGTTCACAAAGATACTGGAATTTGGAAAGTAATTTTTAGCTGTGAACAGCAGGTCAGCCATGGAGTGAAGCGCCTCACGCTTCCCATGGCCGCCATTGTAACCTGCTCTCCCCTTGTAACCTAACTTGAGGTTGTTTGTACCTACATGGAAATAAACAACAGACAGGTTATGATTCTTTTATCTAAACAGCTTACGCTTGATATCATGAATTTTGCCACCAGGGCAACAGTCAACAATAAAACCATTGTTTACAAGTTGTTTGCTTGCATGGCGAATCATTGAATCACCAATCAATAAACATGTTTGCTTACCAACTTCTTTGACTTCTGTTTGGGGCCAAACACTCTTTTTACCGCTTTTTCCTCTGTTGTGGGAACCAATAGACTAACTGAAACATTTATTTACATCTAATAATCTATTCAACTTAGTCTTAGTACTACTACTCTTTTTTACATTTTTCTGACTAGATTTTTTCCATTTACCGGATTGGTTATTTACATAGTTTTCTTCCTTTTCTTTGGTGGCATTCTGATCTACTACACTTAGAGAGGAAAACCTATTTTTACATTCAATTTTCTCTCCAGCATGAGAAACTTTACTTCTACCCAAATTACGATCATGTGTTTTGTTGGATTTGACAAGTGTCCAGTTTTCGTAATTTTTTTCAACAATAATGGACTCACTCCATTTTCATCTACACTTGTCTCAAGAACAGATTCTTTACTTAAACTAGAGACTGTTAATGTGCATTCCAAAGTTGTACTGAGAACTGGAGTTGGAGTTAAGTCAAAATAATTAAACCATTCAATAAAATCCTTATCAACTAATGGTAAGATATAATAGTGAAGAATGAGCTTTGCATGGACCAATACATTGATACCACACTCGTGACTGTTCCTCTGCTTGAAACAGGTGACTGAGTGGAAATTGTCAGAGGGAATACTTAAATTCAAAGCAGCATCCATTGCATGCTTATTATTAACACCTGACATAGAATCTAAATGATAAGCATGCTGCTGGATCTTGTCAACAAAAAGCAAAGACCAGTGAGATCCAGATTCCCCATTTACCAGATCACAACTGTTGTTCACACAAATAAAAACATATTTACAATTAGTGTAAGCAACAGATTCAGTTATGTCAGAGATGACATGTTGGTTACCAAGTTTTACCAGCTGTGACAAAGCTGGAGTCAGAAACATAGAATTACCTTCAACCACAAAGTTTTGCATTGACATAAAATAATCATTTATAATGCTATCATTAACCCACTTGTCTTTCAACATCTTATTCAAATTAACAATGTCCTGTTGGGCTAAACTATTTTTAATTTTAAAATCCACAATCAGGTTTAACTGTTTTTTGCTGTCAGCCTCCATGGTTGTCATAGTCTTTGACATTTCAACCAACTTGACGTTCAACGAGCTGTTTTCGGCCATTAAGGAAGCCACGTCCCCATTTCTTTCTCGGAGTTTCTCCTCCAGCAGCCCGATACGTGAGGTCAAGGTAGCAATCTCAACAGCGGCTTCATCTTGAATTTTGAAAGAAGTGTTCATTTCGTTCTGTAGACGGTCTTTTTCCATAAATAGTTTAGAAGACAATAGTTTTAGCACACTCATACACTCTTCCAGATCTTTAGCTTTTTTTCTCTGTCATTATTTAGGAGTTCGAGGCTTTGCAATAATTTTGCAATATGCCGCGAAATATTTTTCAGAGACACATCTGGGAAATTAGCTTCTATACAATTTATTTCGTTGGTCAGATCTAAAAGCGTAGTTTCTTGAAAATCCTGAATTATTACATCATCGGTTTCGTAGATAAACTCATCTTCGTTAATCATTGTCAATTTTTAAACGCCTACAAAACAGGCAATGTAGAACAACGCAGATGTGTTGGACGGATCGTATCACCACAATTGAAGGCGCTGTAAAATTCTTTCAGCGGGACGGTAGTGTAGTAGCGGCCGAGCAGACATAGGTTAATCACGATCTGTGCGGTTGGCAGCGCTGTCTAATTCGAATCAGCCGCTCAACGGTCAGGTTTTATGTTCTTTGCAGCTCAACTTTGTAGGTTAGTGACAGACACATTTACCTCATAGTAGCCTACTTACAGTGTCCATAGTGCAATGGTTGTAATAAATGAACCGATATTATTAGTATTAAACGTAAGCTAACACTACAAAGGCTGCACAAAACAAAAATGTGGAAAATTGTAACTTTTCCAGGAACGATAGTTTACCGTGACACAGACAGGCAATCAGGCTTGCCAACTCCCATGCTTGCCAACTCAATGTGAATGCGGCATTATCACATAGAAAAAAATCTGTTGGTGATTTTGAGGGATTTGAACCCAGGACCTCTGGAACCGAAGTTCCGCGCTCTAACCACTAGACCGACTCGCTCCCTCAAATGTCTGCTATAGTATTGATTTACGTTTATATATTTACCAAGCAGCTATTAATTTGTACTTCGTTGTTTTGTAGAATTCACTTACAGTAAATAATGATGAACGAGTGTAACGTATTATTTCTAATCACTTAAATTATATGATGTATCTCATTAAAAACCTTGATGCGTAATATTGGTACACACGTCCCGGTAATTATGTTCTATCCATTATAAGGACGTTGTTGATTAAGTTATTGCTAATTATACAAAGCATCGCACAGTTATTTGATTCCGCGCATGCTAATCAACAAAGCAATATCATGTAAATTGATACTTGATATGGAAGCATCAACCACCATTGGGAATTGCACACGTTTAATTGTAAATTCAGATTATATTACTTCAAATGCTTATTGGTTGGTTAAACTATTCCATTCTAAAATTACCTTTACCATAATAATAGCTGATATTACATCTTTTTTTGTTCATAGTATTAACATTGACTATACAAAGAATAGACTTCCTTTGTAATGTAAAAATTGAAGCCAAAAAACCTGGTGCAATCCGTTGAGATAGTCAACTAATGACAATATTTTGTTTCACGTGATAAATCAATCAGCTATTTGCTACGATACTGCATTGATTTTAATTGATAACCTAATACACTAGTACCCTCTGGTGAGATGGTCTTGAACTCCTATTTTCTTGGCTTCAAATTTTAACATAACATGGGTCTATTCTGTGTATAGTCAATGGTATCAATCAATAAGTAGGTTAAGAGCACATTGTTATTATAAACTCAGATAGAAAATCCCTGGGCCAATACTGTCGTCTGGGAAGAACCAGTCTGATAGAGTTCAAGGTCAACGCCAAGGACTTCGCTCTCACGTCTTGGTTTTCCTGGTCAGGAACCTCAGTATAATCGTAAACTTCGCGATGTCCAGTGAGTCTTGACGTTGTGAACAATGTTGCGATCGGTTTACCCGATTTTCTGTTTAGTATTAGGTAGGTTTTTGTGTCAACTATGCCACATTTTACTACAATAGTCACAGTGATAGCTTTAAAAATGGTCCTATAACATTATTATCATACTATGCTAGATTTGTGAAGTTGTGTTTATTTCCTCATGGCTAAACTAAAGGGATTTTTAGATTGATTTTCCTCTCTAGTGGATTAAATTGTGTTTGAGCTTGTCAGTTTAAAATTGTTATAGGTTAGGTAAAGATATTATTGTTTTAAGGTCAATATTACACTGTAAAAAATTGATATCAAAAGTAGTCTTACATTACTGTGCCACAGCAAACATGTCAATCTTTGATTTTATTACGGATTTTTTTCCATTTATTCCATTTTTATTCTTTCCATTTAAATCAAAATGCATTCAGTTTAAACAAGCTTACTGTTTTAAAACCATACAAACGTAATAATCTCTTTTGTTTATGTGTGTTTATGTGTGATTTTTATCAGTGGTAGCCGGACCGAACTCAACAACATCTAACAATGGATTTATTAGGACTAAGAGACAAGGGTAAGTAAATAAATCTATTTTTAGATAGCTTATATATCTTGAAACACACTATTAAACAAAGTCATACCCTTTGAAATTAATGAATTATTCGGTTGTGTATCTATAGATTTTTAAAGTTTCCCCTCGTTTTGCGATCACCAAATCGAAATGATTGAAAACCAGCTTTTGGTAAACACACACACACGCTATATATGAGCATAAAGTATCGGACTATCTGATATGAGTTGTAACTCACAAGTAATCAATCCAGCTTGTCAACATTCACAGCTCGTGTTAGTAGTCCAGGTATATCTCATCAAACTTAAATCAGACCTGACGAAGACGAAGTTTAACCCGCAATCCATAAAATGCTACACATTAGACAACTCAGTAATTTATCAGCACTAGTGTAAAACATTAGAAAAAAAAGTAGTTAGTAAAAAAAAAACATCGAGGGTTCTGGGCAACTGCGGTTCCCTGCTGGGTGTTCTAAAACTCACACGAATCTTTCTCCTACCAATCATAATGTATAACTCTTAATCTTTGTACACCCGTCATGCTAATGTAAAGTTTGAACTCCAACATCACCGATGGAATTCGAATGAATGATAATTGTGTAACCGTTCCACCTTCACATCCTAGGACTCTAGGTTCTTGCCCGGAACTATTACACATTACTTCAGGTTAGTCTTAGCGAGTCGCAGTATTATCAAATAGATAACCCATTGGTGATTTGATTGGTGATTTTGAACCCGGGACCTCACGCTCAAAAGCCCCGAGCTCTACCTTTAGACCAGCTCACTCCCAACTATGAACAATAACAATGCAATTTGAGTGAATGATATAAAAGTTTTTTTTTTTTTTTCCCAAGTGTCATGGCGGATGGTCACGTTGATCCTAATTGTGGCTCTTGTTTTAAATTAGTTAAAAATAATTGTAATGCGATTTTCTGTGATGGTTTTTGCTCCAAATGGTACCACATTGCTTGTGTAAATATTTCTTCAGTTGAATATGACTTAGTAAACAAATTAGGGGACAAATCCAAGTGGTTCTGTGACTCCTGTGATGTTAACCTCAAAAGTCTGCAGACGAGAGTTGGTAATATTGAAGAATTTATTAACCTAAATTCTACTGTCCAGAACTTAATATCTCTCGTTAAAGGAGTTGTTGAAAATAACCTCGAACTTAACAACAAACTTGAAGATGTTGTACAAACCAAGAAGCGGTCCTCTGCAGAATCCCATTCTCAGCTTATAGGCCTAACTAGGCCTAGTCAAGAGTCAAGTCTACCAAATTCCGAATCTGATGACAAAGTGAATGGACAGGAGGCCGGAAACACTGAAAATAGGAATAAAAGCTACTCCCAAGTACTAGCTAGCAATACTGACAGTAGGCCTAGAAACAAAATTAGACCTACAACTTCCAAGACGTCTCAAGAAGAGGTTAGGTTTTCTAAAACTAAGACTAAACCCATTATAGGTTCAAATACTGACAAAAGTGGTCTCAAGCGTGCGGAAAAATCCAAGGCAGTTTTTGTTAGTCGTTGTTCTTCAGATACGGAAAGTAGTGACATTGAATCCTATCTAAAAAGTGAAAACGTTATTTGTAACAAATGTGAGAAACTACCTACCAGGTTTTCAGACTATACAAGTTTCAAGGTAAGCGTCTCTGATAATCTTGTTAAGGACTTATTGAAACCTGAATTTTGGCCCGAGGGAATTTTTGTAAAAGAGTTTGAAGAACGTCGTTCAGGCAGACAAAATAACGTTAAAAGCTACATTCCTTCTCGTACTTTTTTAGGGGATCGTCCGAAAAAATGGGACTAAACATGATGCGGGAAAATCACTCCTCTGTAAATTTTTGTGCATCTAGACCTGTTAGCCAAAACAGCCATAGAGGCCCAAATAATGTAGGTGTAGGCCTAGGACTTTTTAACTTTTGTATATTGTTACTTAATGTACAGTGCCTTTCCACTGCTCGAATTTTAGACCTTGAAATGACACTTGCTCTTAATGATTATAAACTGCTTTGTCTCTCAGAACATTGGCAGTCCGATGAACTTATAAAGTGTACAAACATAAGTGGCTTCTGCCTTATTTCAGCCTATTGCAGAACTTCTCTGAAGCACGGTGGGGTTGCTCTTTTTGGGACACCTAACATAACGAACTCAATCACTGTTATTGATGTTAGTGAGTTTTGCGTTGACCTGCATCATGAATATGTTTGCGTTCATTTCCATAGTTGCAGTATTGTTTTCATTGGCATTTATAGGTCGCCTGACGGTGATCCCGACAGGTTTTTAGATAGCCTTGAAAGGTTAGTCCTCTCTTTAAGTGTGAGAAGATCTGCGAACAGTGTCGTCATAGGTGGCGACTTCAATGTGAACATCTTGGTAAGAAACAGACTTTCCGAAGATTTTTTAAACCTTTTAAGGTCCCTTGACCTCTATTGTTCTGTGTGGGAGCCTACTCGGGGCACTTCCTGCCTGGACAATGTAGCAACCGATTTATCTAATGACTGTTTTAATGCAGAGGTCCTTAGCTATGCCATTGCAGACCATGAAGCAATTAAGTTTAGCATAAGGGATAAGCAGGCAGATGGAAACGTCTCGAAGCATGGTACTATATCTAAGTTGTATAGGCCCTTTCCTGTAAGTAAAATACATAGCTTTGTGGGTGATCTCTTTAACATAGACTGGTATGTTCTACTTCAAGGTGGTAATGCTAACCAAAAATTTAACCAGTTTTTAAATACTTTTCTAATGTTGGTTAACGAGTGGTTTCCCAAAAAACCCCTCCGGCTCCGTAAGAATCTAAAAAACTCCATCCAGCCCTATACAGACAATCCCACTTTACTAACCTTAAGAAAGTGGAAACTTTTAACCTATGATATGTACAAGGTATCCAAAACTCCTGAAGCTAAAGCAAGATATCTGCGAGTCAAAAATGAATACCAAGAAAGCCTTAAGCTTGCCAGATTTGAAAGTAATGTCAAATTCATTGAATCTGCACAAAATCCTTGTTCTGCAGCTTGGACGGTTATAAAGAGAGAAGTGGTCCCAACAAAACCTTTACAGCTGACCAACCTAACACCCAGTGAGTTCAACGAATTTTTTGTGAACTCGGTCCAGCAGACCCGTGACGCTATTGGAATCCCCCCTACCTCTGGCCTAGAACTACTGGGAAAACATCCTCCACCTACTAGTACCTTTCACATGTCCCCAGTTTCATGTGATAAAGTCATATCTGTAGTGCAAGGGTTAAAGAATTCTTCTAGCAGAGACATATATGATATCTCTACTAGTTTTGTGAAACAGATCATTTTCTCTATAGTTAGCCCATTAACTTACTGTATCAATTGTTGTATTTTAGAAGGTATTTTCCCTGATGTTTTAAAAATTGCCAGGGTTGTGCCTATTCACAAGAAAGGCAATCCCAACCTGCCAGAGAATTTTAGACCAATTTCTATTCTGCCATCTTTCTCTAAGATCCTTGAGTTTATTATTAAAGAACAGCTCTCTCTGTATTTTGAAGCAAATAATTTGTTCTCAGCTGCCCAGTTTGGTTTCAGGCCTCACCGCAGCACTACTGATGCGGTTGACAAGTTAATAAAGGCAGCTTTTCAGTCTTTTGAGGATGGGGGCTTTGCTGGGGCCACTCTTTGTGACCTCAGCAAGGCCTTTGACATGGTGGATCATGACACCCTCCTGGGAAAGTTAAATTTCTATGGGGTTAAGGGGAAACTTTTTGAACTGTTTGAGTCATACCTGACTGGACGTGGGCAGCTGGTTTGTATAAATGGCAGACAATCCAGTGTACAGCAATTGACCCATGGTGTACCTCAGGGCTCAATTCTTGGTCCCTTACTTTTCAATGTCATGCTTAATGATCTCGCTTTGTGTTTGGGGCAAGGTGTCATCTGTTACGCAGATGATACTACACTCTTTGAAACTAGTAATGAACTGGGAGATCTTGAGGAAGCCATGAAACGATCTCTTGAGGGGGCATCGGCCTGGTTCCGAGCAAATCACTTTTTTCTAAATGAGACAAAGACTAAGTCAATAATCTTTAGCCTAAGAAACTTAGAACATAGTGTGAAATCTGTCAAACTTCTAGGCTTACATCTTGACAATAAAGTAGACTGGAATGACCAGATTAGCCATGTTTGTGCTAGACTTTCCAGAGCTCTGTGTCTACTCAGAAGACTGAGATATTTTGTACCAAAGGACTGGCTGAAAACTGCTTATATTGCTTTCTTTCAGAGTATTTTATTGTATGGCCTAAGGCTCTGGGGTGCCGCCTCTGGGGTCAAGAGAGTTCTGCGCTATCAAAAGAAAGCAGTTAGAGTAGTAGCTGGTGCTGATTACTTGGACCATTGCAAACCCATATTTGTAGCTGAGAGCTTAATGACAGTTTGTAACCTCTATATTTTTCAGTCCTTGATCAAAATCAAGAAGGAATGGGATTCTCTTGAGCTGAGAGGCGACATCCATCCCTATAATACACGTAGGAAAAATGATATCAATTTACCACATGTTAGATTAAGTAAAGTTCAGATGTCGAATGAGATTCTAAGTTATACGTTTTTTAATAAACTTCCTTTTGCAGCTCGGAACCTGCCGGACCCAAAATTTAGAAAAGGTGTTGAGGGGCTCCTTTTGGCAAACCCTTTGTACAAAAACAGAGAATTTTTTGATTTGAAAGAAGAACTTGTAAGTAGTTTTTTTTAGTTTTTCAACCGAGTGCTGTGTGCTGTTCTTTTTTTTTTTCCTTCTCTTTGCATGGAGAGTTTCAGGAATGTAATTCTTATATTGGTAAGAAACCTTGTACCATTGTCTTATTTTAGTTTATTTTTTTTTAGCTATAGTTGACTGACGTTTTCCAGCAATGTAACTACATTTTATGGAAATAAAAATTCTTGATTCTTGATTCTTGAAAACTACGTAAATAGCATTGAGAGGGAAATATTCACAGGACTGAGTTAAGGTAATCCAATTTTGATCACTACCTAGGCTTTCTCCGCCTGAATCCGTATTTCTAATAATAACAAAGACACATTTACGAAAGTAACACTAGAACTTGCAGTCCTGCGTCCCAAACTAAGATTCAGAGGTTTCGATACAGCAATGATAATAAAAACATTTATAAAACCGTTGATATAGAAATATCTGTTATCAGTGAGTAGTAATATGGTAGAGTGAGTAAAGTTAAGCTTTCTTTAAATAGGCCCTTACTAGTTTAAAATGAGATAGGGGCCAAAAAGCTAAAATCTTAACTATAAAATAAAGGAACATTGATGATGGGTGATATTTCTTATCTAGTTTTTTACTATGTAATAGTATATTAAGTTAAGCCCTTAAAATAGGCGTTTACCGGATGAGTTTGGTCGTTCCCGTGCGAGACGGAGTCGAGTTCGGGATTACCATAGGGTAAAAACATTTTGGATGAGTGAAGTACGATATTTTACACCATACTACTCTAAGCTAACTTAACAACAAAATCTGTACAAATCCTTCAATTCTGTACAACCTCTAAGAAAGGTCATGTTTTTGTTTATAACCACTCATTGCCAAATATAATTCCCTGGTTGCGGTCCGGTAAAAACTCAGTACAGTGGTACGTAATCGAATCCCATTTGATTAAGCTGGCGGCAAACAGCTATTTTCTGGACTAAATCATTGCGTGGAATGTTCGTTAAAACAGTGTAGTGTGGCGTAAAATCAACTTTTACCACCCTAATGAATTAAAAGATTGATACTACGGGGCAGCATAATTAAATTTAATGGAAATTATTGAAAGCTAAAAAACCTTTTTTATCCAATCGGGGATTGTGACATTAATAAGCAAGTATAATAACTACTGAGCTACTTAAACACACATTGATTATAATCGTCTATGTTTACATTACAGTTGGTCATGATTAGTTCCTAGTAATTATGCACTTAGTGCTGATTAAAACCGCCATTAGATAAGTTACACAAATTAAAATCAATATGAGAACGATAAAATAAACAATTAAAGGCAATTTGTTATGAATATATTGATCTTAAACATGATCTCGCATTTTTCAATGTTTGCGGTATTTTTAGATTGAATACTTAATGAATTACGTAGACATTTTTTGATATGTGTGTATTTCTGAACACTTTAACAATAATCAGTGTAACTTGAATTAAACTTTGCAATTGTTTTTCTAACAAATATTTCCTGTCATTTTAAGAGATTATTGCAGCCACTTTCCATTAAAAACTTATTGTTCACAATGTTTCTAATTGTCCTGTCTGAGCACGTCCTCAATTGAGGAAGCCCCTAAAAGATGTATACCAAGATTAGTAAACCAGTTTACCGTGTATGGCTTTGGCTGGGTTTGTACACTAATTGTGTTAGGTTTCAGTAACTTTCTTACCTGAGTTAGGAGATTCCAGATCCAAAAACGTCGCGAAAACTTTTGTTTTTACTAATCTACTAAACTTACCATCACCAAAAAAATTAACTTTGACAATGATTGTAGCAGCCCAGACGAGAGGAGCTGTCTTCTCCCACAGCCAATGGTCAATGGAAGATACTCACCCAACATCAAGAGATGTCCTCCCCACGTATCCAACGCCGCTTGCAAGATAGTCCCCGGGACCCCAGTACCCTCGGGGTGGGATCTCTACTACGGATGTGATGATGGGTTCATCCTCAACTCTACCGATACTGTGTCCTTCTGTACGGACGGGAACTGGTCTCCGTCTCTGCCAGAGTGTATAGGTAAGACATGGTGTGGAAAAGATCAATAACTGTATTACGTGTACTTAATGTCTCATCTTTACACCTTAGGGTGTTAGGCTCTACACCAGAACCATTTTACAGATGTTTTAAGGATAGGCTCATTGGGTAGCGGAATTATTACGTAGATCAAATCTATTGGTGACTGATGAGATTCGAACCTTTGACCTCAGGAACCGAAGTCCCACGCTCTACTCCTAGGATCGCTCGTTCCCTATAGCTCTAGACAGATCTGACTGCAAGTCATAATTTTCATATTCGTTTTGGAGTTTTTACACATCTTTAATCCAGTTTAGACAGCACGGCTTACTCGTGTTATATTGTCCATAATGTATACATATGTTCAAGATCATTTAATTTGTACGCTTTGCCTTTACGTTAGAAACGTTCATGCAATTGCACGGCCACTTACATCATATTATATTATATTCAGCAGGCCTTGTTCACAAACTACCTAAACAAGTTCGTAATTTTAAAATTTGGGTTTATTACGATTGTGGGAATAACCCACATCACCGCAACAATTAAGGTATAAGGTAAGAGTCAACCCCATCAGCTGATCGGACGACAAGCAGAACTGTAGTCAGGCACCTGCGACACTAGCGCTCCGGCCGGAAAAGACCAACCGCTGGCAACCAGGTTTGTCTTGGTTCGGCTTCGGAGGGAGAAGGACATCTTAATCCTTGGTCTACAGTTGGTAAAGTACCCGTAATGGCTAACTGGTTAATTAATCTTTTGGGGGATAAAGGGGGTTAGGGGGGAAACATATCTTTTCTAAACTAGGCCAAGTTCAACCAACAATAAATTAACTGACGTAAGCAAATTAAACTTAACAATTGTCGATATCATGTTTAGGGCAAGTTGCTGCAGGCGTGTTACAATGGCGAGGAGAGTTAGAATAAAATAAAATGCAGTTAATCTATTTATTTGAGACCTATCAAAGCTGGCTTACGCTGAGCAGGGTTTTCGTGAGCGTTGTGGGGAGTTTTTTTTTCATTTAGATAGGTACTTTATCCAATAATTAATTATTGTCAGATCTTTTACTTATGAAAACATTTTCTGATAATTGTTAATTTTTTTCAGCTGGATTGCCTTGTTTACCATTGAAGTCTCAGTACCTCAACATCAAGTGTTCGTTCCAAGGCAAGGTAGTGTCTTGTGACCAGTCTATGAAGCCAGGAACGATAGCTTCACCAGAGTGCAAGAGCAACTACAAGCCTGCCTACCAGATACCATACTCTTACATTACCTGCCTCAACGATGGATATTGGGACTACCCTTTGTTCTACTGCACTCCAGGTATAGACAAGTCAGAGCTCCGTGATTATTTCCCCAAACATTTAATGTACAAATAAAAATTAGCTTAGTACAAATATATTTGTCTGCAATCTCTTACACAAAACATAAGTATAAACCGAGTATGGTCATTCGATGAAAAATGTTCTGCAAGAAGGCAAGGCTAGCAAAAGACTTAGCAGAGACAGAGCTGGTAGCTTAGAGCTGGTGGCTATTGTTACTTAGAGTGGTAAACAGGTGGTAAAACGGATATTGTTGCAAATTCGGCAAGCAATAACCAAGGTGTTCTGCTTGTGTAGTATAATGCAGAGTGCAACACCTTGGGATTCGTACAACTGTAAATAGTAAAAGTTATATAAAGTATGTAAGAAAATATTTCTAAAAAAGGCTTAATATTTAACATTTTGATGTCAATTGATTACGATTTACGTTCAGAAGACTTGAGAGCTCAGAAGTGTTTTTGATCATGAAAGATAAAGATAATGGAATACCGCTACGTAATAAGTCACATGTGGTGACAGTTATGACAAGATAATACACTTGATGGTATTATACCAGCAATGAGTTGCGTATAGCCTATATCGATGTCATTATTGTGGTATTTTCTGGTGACCATAGTATATTAATCGAACTGGATATTATTTTCAGAAAAGCTATGCCCCCCACTGAAGGCGCCGAACAATATGAAGGTTCAGTACATCTACCAAGACAAAGTCGTCAGAGACGATCAGTTGAAGCCTGGTACCATTGCTATACCCAGATGCAAACACAACTACAGACCTGCTTACGACCCGGGGTACACCAACTTGACTTGTCTTAACAGTGGCTCATGGGACCAACAGCTGTTCTATTGCACTGCAGGTAAACTACCTTACTCCTTGAAAGACGTTGGCAACAAAACTTGTAAACTTTCAAACACAAAGTTCAAGTGGTTCAAGATAGTTAGTTCTTTACTGCCATACTATCACAGATATTTCAAACTCTTTCGTAAATCTTGTCAAGTTGATTTCGTTGTTATGTTGTAAAATCTGACAGATTACATAAAGTAACATACTCGGGGGTGTGATAGGACTGATGCAGGGTTGTTGGCCAAAGTAGCTCATTTTCGTCCATTGAATCGGTGAAAAATCCTACACCTATATGTCATCTCCCTATTTTCTAGCAGTTTATGATTGAAATCTATAAAAATTAATTCATGATGATCACCACCCATAATCGTCTAAAAGTAAACGCCTTTCTTAACAGATTGTGCTCTTTGAAGAACCGTGTTTGGGTTTGTTGCTAGCCTAGTGGTTAGCGTCTCTGACTTCGGTGCGGGAGGGACGGGTTCAATCCTCGGCACCAGGGCCGGGGATAGCAGCTAGTATACTAGGATACTACCTCCTACTACTATCCCCGGCCCTTCTCGGCACATCCACCAAGCATTTAATCCCCCGTAACTCTCTTGTGAAATGCCACTGGCGAAGAAAAAAAAACAACAAAAAACTGTAGCTGACATCATTATTTTTTAAGTCATCAACTGCCCTTTACATTGACTTCAAAGTACCTCCTAGTTCCGTACCACATTCCTCGTCGAGTCATGCAAAACTAAAACAAACTTTTTGACCAACTGTCCAACAACAATATTAAGTTTGAAATTGAAAATTAACCAGTTTTGAAATATGACACAACATATTATGACAGTATTTGTTTTTCTTTTTTTGCAGAAACCATGTTCCCCATGTGTGTAGATTTAATTTCTGTTCAGTAATTGTTGCAATAATTTATTCTTTTATTATTGTTATTTAAGTTTGATTTGTTGTACTTGTTGAAATTTTATCCATACTGGAACTATCGTGTCTACTTGTTATTTCAGTGTGTGGTGCGTCGAACGAGGTCGGCCAACTGACTCCGCTGATTGTGGATGGAGTACAGGCCAATGTTGGTGCCTTCCCTTGGCACGCAGGTCTCTATTATCGTGATGTAGACGAAGGGAGAGAGATATGGGACCAACGATGTGGTGGTAGTTTGATAAACGACCAGTTTGTGTTAACAGGTAACTTTTGAATAAGAGTCTCTTAGACAAGGATTACCAGAATCATAGTTTTCTTTTTTACCGATTCATTTAGTTTCAGGCGTTGCTCCGAAATTCACTGCTTTGAAACACATTTTTAGAGCAGAGCTTTTCGAAGCAGTGTCTCAGAGGCACATTTCTTTAGGAACATTGTTTTCTGAGTAACGTTTTTCGAAACAATTGCTTCCAACGCATTTATAAAATTTGAGGAATTTTTGTAAAAGTACGGAAGTAATCAATGCATCTCTATCTCAGTCCTTTGGCAACATTGATGCATATGTGTTAAAACTAAGTAAACTTGATATTATTCTGAAACATGTTTTGTTTTAGTGAGCAACTTTAACAATATTTTTAACTTTTTAGCGGCTCATTGCGTGACAAGCGTTCAAAATGTGGCCGATCTACGAGTGGCTTTGGGCAAATATTTCAGGTCGTGGGATATCCCTGAGCACACTGAAGAAAAGCGCAATGTGAGTAGACTTTTGTCATTAAATTAATTATTAAATAATTATACTGAGATCATGAAAGGTTGTGTATTTCTATTTTAACAAAAACTCAATCAAAATATCAAACAATAACACAAAACATATGTTGAACAATTACCATATGTTATTAACATATTAACTACTACTGTCAACTTTGTTCACAAGTTAAATATTTTTTGTATAAACTTTGGCCTATTTTTTAAAGTTAGATAAAAGATACATAACTAGATAACTTTTATTTATGTAGTCGACTAAATAGAGTCAGTAATAGTGGTAGCCAATCATCATATTGCATGGCAATATTAGTGGTTTAAAAACAATTTTTGTATCAAAATAAGAATACCTTGTCATACATTCAAGAAATCAGCCTTTAGTTTGAATAATTTTGGTAGAGTGTATCCTGTTAAAAAAATACTACACGCATTTTCAATCGTGAAAAATAGTCTTATCCGTAAACTTATCTGTTAAAGACAGAGAAAAACAGCGTTCTTAATCCCCCGAAAAATCTGTTAATCAAGACTAATTGAACCGATTAAATATGAAATACTGTGTACAAATAATTTAAGAACAAAATATTTCTACCCTAAGAGACTGACTGAAATAGTGTTCTATCACTAAATAGTATAACAATCACTTGATAATTAATAGAAGGTCACATAGCTTTTATATTAGAATATAAATTAACCCAGCTGTATGTAACTTTTCGCTACACTACTGTGAAATGACCGGTTTTTTTACATGTTTAGCACCTGCAAAATTCATCATCATTACATTGTTTACTACGGAAAAAAGAATGTTTACTATGTGATAGAAATGTTGACTATCTTTTTTGGATTTTGCAAAAGTAAACAAACAAAGATTTGTTATTGTTTTGTCAACTGTTTCAATTTTCAACAACCAAAACTGTAAAACCAAAGTAAAATACGAGTATTAACATTAAATTTAAGGTATATCCTAAAACATGGTATGAGTTTTGTAATATTTCTATCTTTAATAAAGAAATATCCAATGTCTGTTTTAATTAAGAAAAGAATTAGTCTTTATAGTGTAGCGAAAAGTAAAGTTCACAACACGAGTGAAAGTGGGTCTATACAATATTCTCGACCATTTAAAATACTCGATAAATCTCGCACTTCCAACATGGTCTCAAATATTTAAGGACTCACTTTCTACTCTTGTTATGAAATGTACTATTTTACATTGCATGACTTTTACAAACTTATCCTTGTACTTTCTTTATAGGGTGTGATAGTTTTGTAGGTATTTGGCTGCATAGTGCATTGACGTTCATGCAGATTGTAGTTACATTAACATTGTTTATACTTCTAATGTGAAACTTGATCTTTACAGGTTTCGATGATATTATTCCCTCGGGAATTCAGCAAGAAAACGTTTATTTTCGACATTGCGCTTTTGATGCTGGATGTGAAAATTCAACCAGGAGAATTTATAATGCCAGTCTGTCATGGATTTTTAGATGGTTCAAATTACATAAAAGACAAGAATTTGTTTGTAAGTACAGTAGAAATTAAGGTATACTGTATATGATACTATCAACCAATTGATAAATCTTTTTTTTTTTACAAGTAATAAAATACCATTTCAATGTATAAACTGGGCTTCTGCCTGTGCGTGATGAGTTCTCACTGGCTGCATAGTGCATAGATGACCATGCAGATTGTACTCACATAAAAATTCTTTATACTTCTTAATCTGTTTTAGGAATTATTACACCTATTTAAGGAAATGTTACTTAAAAAGGAACGGTGCAAACTTTGATATCATCATAGGACTACATTAAAATTATAGCCAGTTTTTAATATTTAATTTAGCTCTCAGACAGTGGCAAACAAAAATACTTATTTTGGTCAATCTATCAGCAATACTTTGTCATAAAATATTCATTCCTAATTTCTTCACACAGTGATTACCGTAAAAATATAATCTTTATAGGTCAACTGGTAATAAAAAAGCATCATTTTATAGTGTTTATCCTTTTAATGAACTTAAAGTATATGTTGCTGCTACACTAAACCTTGTGTTCATGTAATGGTTTTTTAACGAATGATATTAGAAGTGAAGGTTGGCTAACTATTCAAAACTTTTGAACATAAATTATAGAAAAAAAAAACAACTTACTGTAATTTATTGATAAATGCAGTTACTTTTCAATTACTTGATGTACCCACATGCATATTGCCAGCTTAATTTCATACTTGATGGAATACCTGTAACGTTAAAAATCCATTACTGAAGATTTATTTTCGTAATTTAATATTTCGACATACATGTACCGGTGTATCGTTTTTGATAAATCTTTTGTTTGAAATGTTTCTCGCAGGTTGTAGGTTGGGGAAAGAAGGAGGACAAGATGAGTAGTGAAACCCTTCTGTACAACGATGTTACTCCGGTACCGTCTTACGAGTGCAATCAGATAGCCCCTTCTGTTTTCCCAACCTTCGACAAGTTCTGTGCCAGCAAAAACAGTTCAGGTAATTTAAGATTAACACGTTTTTAGGTTAAAACATTGATTGGGATCCATCATTGACTTGTTGGTATTAATAGTCAAAGGTTCCATGTAGAACAACATTTTATGTAATCTTTTAGTTACCGTGATAACGGTTGGTCTGTATGTTCTAATGACTGGTTTAATGCATTTAGAGAAGTTAATTCCAGATGTTTTGCTGTGTTTTTCAAGTATGTAAAATGACAACCCATTCTAAAATAAAACCATTTTATGTTCAAGGCCCAAAAATTGTATGCTGCCGAGAGACTCTGACAACAGAAAGTTTTGTTCCTTGGCAGAACATTGCGACAGCTGTGACGCAAGATGCATTATTCCGGCGGGATCACAGGCTACTAGAGTCAGAGTCGTCTGCAACCCAGGCTACAGTCTGAGAGGAGCTGTTGGTGAAGTGTACAGTGGAGGAGACGTAGCGACATGTCTATCAGGAGGCTCCTGGTACCCTCGCATACCGGAGTGTATAAGTAGGTTGAATATCATCAACCACAATATATACTGTTTATGTGATTTTAAAGTTTTAATTTTTATCTTGTACATAAACGAACTACAGTTCCAATGGTCTTTTGTAGAAATGAACAAAGGAAACAAACTAGAGTCAGAGGCGTCACATAGGTCCTGTAATTACATTGTGCCAACATTATTATTATTATGTGCTCGCTGGTGCCAACACCTTATATAGCTACCACCAGTTTTTCAGGATGTAGTTGCGATCTCGTCACTTTAATAACCGGGTGGTTAAACAATTGGCACAGTACGGAGGTGGAAATTGCGTCATTTCACCTATATCTCCTGCAGCAACGGTCATTGCTCTTCCAATTCTTTAAAGTCATTGAGTGGTTAAAATTAAGACTTACCAGGTATATTAACTTCAAGTCTGTGATTCTAAGGGATCACCGCTCGTGGAAAATGTTGTTGACCATTAGGCAGGATTTTGTGATTTGCTACTCGCCTTGGGCTGCTTTCGTGGACTGAAAGTGTTGTTGTAATGCCGTAAGCAGATGAAATGATAGGTGCTCTACGATCTACAATGGTTCTAGAGCCTGTTACGTGGAGCTAAAGGCTCTCGCCGTCTCCCCAGTGAGGTTCGTGTGCCTTCTTTGAAGCTGTCCCAAGGACGTTCCAGGTAGATTGTAGGATGAACTTTGGCATAAGCATACAAGGGCAATTTACAATATTTTCCCCATAAAAATAACATGGAGGGGGATTTAACTGATTTGTAAACCCTATCGTTAGAAAATGAGACGATTTCGAATTTTCCAAACGGCTTGGTCTTCAAACGAACACCCATGAACATTTCAAGAATCTTCTTTTATTTATTATGTGGTCTAGAATTTATATAACTGAGTCAGTAAGTAGTTTCATAAAATAGTAAATAGCCCACCTTACATTGTAGATACTAGATTTGCCATAACATTCTAAAGAGTGTGTGATAAAATACCGTCTAGAACAGGTATAAATTAGGTTCTCGATCTAGTCCGGTTGCTCCCGCATGATGCCAGTCTAGTGGAGGTCAGTTAGAAGAGATTGATGGGGTACACTACTGAAATTGAGATGACATGTGGTGGATAGAAGCCATTCTTGAGGCTCCTGGACTATCGTAGCCCGAAGCGGATTAGTACGTTGTAATATACACAACAATCTGCAGCCTATTTCATCCATACTTAAAATAAATCGTGCAAAATAGGCTAGCAAAAGACAATATAGGGCACAAGTCAGGATAGGGCAAGCTTCTTCCTGAGCTCGCATATGAGGTTAACACAAATCATCCCATATTAAACGATTGTTTGTTTTGTTTAATCAGATTATAAAACATGTGCATGTTGTAATCATTTATACTATAAAAGAAATCCTGTGATGGAAAAACATGTTTCTAATTAGTTATGACGTTTACATATTAAAAGATTCGCAAAGTTAAGTAATAACAATCCTTTGTTTCAGAGGTGACTGGGAAGAAATACATTGCAGGCGATCCATGGACCCACGTAAGTTATTTTTCTACGGAAATTTTATTCATGTCTACATGGAAACGTGGTTCATACTCTTTAATTTCATTCATGCAATTTTCAGGGAGTATGTAATAAAGTAATTGTAGATGCTGGGTAAAAGTGTTTTTCTTTAGTCTTTGAATTTTCAATAGAAAACGGCTTTATATTTGTATATTGGCATTTAAGGGGTTTGGAATATTAAAAGAAACTATTTTAGTTAACATGAAACACATTTCAGGTAACTTGGGACGAAGCCTATCAGAACTGCATAGCCAAAGGAAGACAACTAGCGGTTATCAAAAGTGAAGATCAACAAAAAATGTTTGAAGACGCAGCCGACGAGAAATTCAAGGAAAATAGTAAGATGAGTTTAAATGGTTTAAAGCAATAAGAGCAATTATTTATTCTTGATTTTCTTCTTCTTTTGATCCAAGGAAAGATAATTACAGTACTTTAGAGTAAAAATAAGATTTTCTCATTTTTTGTATTGTGTTATTTGATGTGACATTGAGAAAGCAATGATTGAAAATATGTATTCTTTTTCATTAATTAACGTTCGGATAAAATTTGGCGTACTCACCAGAAAGTAATAATCAGAGCACTCTTTTGGTGGTTCACTTGAACAATGACAGTTTTGGTCCTGATACTGGACGTAGTTTTAACATCCGAATGTTTTGTCAATTGTCTTTGGTAGTTAATAATTTTAACCAGAAGATATAAGTTTTAATATGACACATTTGATTTATTATGTTTCTTTTTTTTAGGGAATGATAACAGATCTGTTTGGATCGGTCTGAGGGACGAGGCTGGATACAGAAGTTTGGCTCTAAGGTTTGTTTGGGTTGACGGTCAGCCTTTGAGAAAGGATGATTTCGCGCCCTGGTGGTGGAGGGAACCTAACAACGCCGGCTATCACGAGGATTGTGTACAAGCAAAACCAGAAAATCGCAAAGACCCAAACACGTCATATAAGTGGAACGACGTTGATTGCAACCTTAGGAACTTCTATATGTGCAGTAAAGGTAAATAGTCCAAGTTCAAATATGTATTCAGATATGACATGGCTCCACACAATTTCCACATGATTTTTATAAGAGGGGTGGAATGAAATGTTACAACGCAGGAATATTGTTCAAGTATTTTTTAGGTATTTTTTTCTATCTTGAGGTCTCTCTGTGTTACATTTGTCTTTGTTGAACAACGGGTTGTCTTTGATAAGAATACCAAGAACTAAAGAAATTCAACAGGCTATTGTTAGATCATGGAACCAATGAGAATCATCTAAGAGAAATTGTGAACCCATAAAAAAAGAACTGACTTGGTTGAATTTTAAAGAAAATTTTGGACCTCAAACACTTTTAAATTAATAAAAAAATATGCAGTAAGAATCGGCTTGAGCTGAAACCCATGTTTGTTCTATTTTGTGTTTTTACTACTTTTGTATGAACATTTAGCTGGCGTAACAGTTAAACTCTAAAATGCTATAGGCCTATTATAATCGGCTATGTAATCGTTAATCGTTGGTCTTAACTAAATAAATCTAATAACTCTTCAAAAACAAACTATTACTCTTGATTTAACTTAAATGAATTGTTAATTGTAGTGGGTTAAAACTACCATGTTTGAGTAAGTTGATATTGTGGGCTTTTATTATGGGCATATATTATTATACTTCTACTTCCAAAACTTTTGAATAGGCAAATTTGTTTTTTGCTAGTTTATTCAAAGTTTCAATTATGTCGAACTTTTTTGATGGCGCTTAAAATAATACTATGGTTATAATGGTATTTTATGCTCAACGGTAATGTTTCGCTTAAGCACTATACACTATTAAAATGTTTTTTTTTTTTTTACAAAACCTGCTGGGTTAGGATTGAACCCATAAACCTCTACAGCTAGGTTAGGTTCAAACCCATAAACCTCTAACCGGAAATGATAGGTTAGAATTGAACCCGTGAATCTCTAAACAGAAATGATTGGTTAGGATTGAACCCGTGAACCTCTAACCAGAAATGATAGGTTAGGATTGAACCCATAAACCTCTAAACTAGGACGGGATTGAACCCGATAACCTCCAATAACATGTTTTGTGATTGGTTAGGATTGAACCCATGAACCTCTAAAACTAACTCAATAGGGTTAGAATTGAACCTGTGAACCTCTAACCGGAAATGATTGGTTAGGATTGAACCCGTAAACCTCTCCAGCTAGGATGTTTTACGGTTGGTTAGAATTGAACTCATAAACCTCTAAACCAGGACGGGATTGAACCCGATAACCTCCAATAACATGTTTTGTGATTGGTTAAGATTGAACCCTTGAACATCCAACCAGAAATAATTGGTTAGGATTGCACCCGTGAACCTCTAACCGGAAATGATAGGTTAGGATTGAACCCGTGAACCTCTAAACCAGGTTAGGATCAAACCTCCACAACCAATATTTACACACCCTGTATATGTAAGTTAAGGTGTCATTTACCACTATAAACTCAATACCTATAACTGCTATCATAGCTCAATGGTAACGCTTCCGACAACCATCTACTAGATCCGGGTTCGAACCTCGGTCAAACCAACACTTTTTATCCATAATTTAATGTAATAATTAATTAATAGAAATTACTACATCACATGATCAGCTGAGATAAACAGCTGATCGTCTCATGGTCAAATACGTCAGCTGAGATAAACAGCTATCATCCCTAGATCATCTCAAGGTCAGTTTCTGCCCGATACGTCTACTCATGAACCACTCACTAAAGTTCTACTTTACTTTGACAGGCCTAGGTCTTATTTTGAGTTTTTGATAATTCATTATAACTATTAAAGAAATGAATTTATAGTAGAATTTTGGTAATTCTTTCCTTTAATTTACCTCTTTAACAAAGGTAATGCGTTACTTTATTCACAAGTGCTCTTGGATGTTGTTATACTGTATTGCTAAAATAACAGTTTTCAGGTAATTCAGCGAATGACTATGTTCCTGGTGATCCTTGGGTTAAGGTTAGTCAAAATACTACATCTTCTTATCATGCATTGTATAAGACTATTTACAAAAATGTTACAACTTAAATAATGAGAACTGATTTTCAAAGATAATGTAAAAAATACACAATTAATTATCTCAGGCTTTTAGGTGTAATAAATGGATTTTAAAATGCACTCTTTTACTATTTTTGTTGGTAAATTGACATACGTAGTTTGACGGGAATAAAGGGTGTTTCAATCTCTTTTTTAAACAAACAAACAAATGTTGCTAACTTAAATATTTACAACAAGTACCACGATTACAAGTTGCGTTCGTAAAATGCGGTTATCTGACACAAAAACAGTAAAATGTTTTTGAAATGTTAGGGTAAGAGTTTGAATTTTGTTTAACGTTGAGGTTTCTGTAGGACAAGAAACGTTCGAAGAACATCTAAAAACTCATTTATCCCTACTATTTCAGGTAACTCGGCAAGAAGCGGTTGAACTATGCCATAGAAAGGGTCACCAATTGGCTATTATAAGAAATGAAGGACATAGTCAAGCGTTTGCTGCTACTGCGGCACAAAAGTTTAGACAGACAGGTGAAGTGATTATTGTTATTAACAAATACATTAGCCCTAAAATAGTTCCTACCTAAATTCTATTTATGCGTGATAATAGTTTTAACTGTTTAATAAGGAAACACATAACAAGTGGGAGGCATTAGGATTAAACACATATTTTGTAACCATTGCAAACAAAAACAACGAAAGACCAAAAATGTTTTGAAATATTTCACCAGTCCATTAAGATTTTTTAAAGAGAAGAATACTTCGCATCAGCATCGATCAATAAGTTTAATTATTAGGTCGGAAGAGGAGTGTTACATCCACAACTATTAAGCACGAGGAATTATTATACACCAAGACAGAATGGCAGATGTTTGAATTACAAACGAAATAAGAAAATTTAAAGGTAAATAAGTAGCCAATGAAAAAGACTAGGTGAAAGTAGAGCCGATCGTGCCAGAGAGTTGATAAAATCAGGCAGTTGACCAAACTGACTGGATCAAGGTGACCAATCATATGATCAACAACACTTGTTCTCTATGTTAAATGCTCTAATTGGTGAAGGAAGCGAGCTGGTCTAGTGGTAGAGCTTTAGAGGCCAAGGTCCCAGGTTCAAATCCCGCCATTCCTCAATGTATTTTATCTATGTGATGATGCCGTTACCCCCTAGGACTAGCCTGAAGTAATATGTAAAACAGATCCAGACTCGAACCTAGCATCCTATGTGGTACATACAAATATTGGTAGGCGTAAAAGTCCTTAGAACAAATTTGATCTCAACGATTTTCTCATCAGGTAGTGAGGCAAAGGTGCTGTGGATCGGTCTGAAGACCGAACGGAGGTTTAAGTGGGTCGACAACTCTTCCCTGGGCTCGTACACCAACTGGCTGCCTTCAGAACCCACCAATGCGGGGGATGGAGAGCCTTGTGTCAAAGCGGAGGGGAGGAGATACTTTGAGCCGTTGTGGCCAAACGCTAAGCCATACCAGTGGAACGACGTTTTGTGCACTGCCAAGCGGTCGTACTTCTGCGAGGACAAAACAGGTGATTAGTATTGACTATTTGGTGCTCTAATTACATAATGCAGAATGTAACTGTAACTGCAGTATTTTTGTATTTTAAAATTTTAATTAGTGAATTTTTGAGAAGTAAGTTGTGGCTCCCACGTTTTTTTGTAATTAATAATAATAATGTTTATTTGTACTAAAGTTGGCACTACATAAAAATTATAAACAAAGGATTTGTTTTAAATTTGCTGCTGTAACTGTTTAGATGAATGAAAAAGGTCATTTAATTTGATGTGAGGGCTAAAGAAACAATCTAACGAAGGGAACTGCATTTGATTAGCAGAATGTCATTGATATGCTTTGTTTTTGTATGAATATGAACTATGGTATGAATATGACTAGTGTATAAATAGAACTATGGTTTAAAGGTGGAACTTTGATTTGCTCTGCTCCGTGCGCTGATAGTTTTTGTAGCATACGCTCGGATTAAAGTTTGAATCAAAAATGATATACACCCAACAACCTATGGGGTAAGTGTTTGCAGTTGCGCTTCCAAAGTTATATTTACCCTCTTAATTCATAAATAAGTCTCACAAGAACATATTGGATTCGCTAGTAAATCTTTCACTCCGTAATATTATATCATTTTCCTATGATTGCTACTACTTATTTCCACCGTTTGGGTTCAATTTTCTTCAATTATGTTTATTATTTGGGTGAAGCTTTTGATTGCCAATATATTTTAAAATTGAATAATACATTTAACATGCTGCTTATGACTATTGTTTAGGTTTGATTAATCATTACGACCTGTTATTGTTCAGCTATTGAAACATATTGGATTCGCTAGTAAATCTTTCACTCCGTAATATTATATCATTTTCCTATGATTGCTACTACTTATTTCCACCGTTTGGGTTCAATTTTCTTCAATTATGTTTATTATTTGGGTGAAGCTTTTGATTGCCAATATATTTTAAAATTGAATAATACATTTAACATGCTGCTTATGACTATTGTTTAGGTTTGATTAATCATTACGACCTGTTATTGTTCAGCTATTGAAATCTATATAATTTTTTTGTGTTACATTGTGTTGTTTATTTAATAATGTGCAAATTAAAAAATGACAAAAGGATTTCCTAGTAAAAAACATAAATAAATCCATCTGGGACCACAAATACTAGTGTATCAACAAAAAAACATTCAACCAGTTTTTTTCAGATTCTACAGAATCCAGCGTTGCTCCTGGGGACCCATGGACTAAGGTATTCAGGACTATAAGTGTAAACTCATTTAATCGCTTTTTGAAATACATTTATTACCTAAAATCATTCTAAATACACTAAGATTAACCTGGACCTATATGAATGGAAGGCTACATTTAAGATTGGTTTAGAGTAGGTAATTTATGTCTGTAATAAACCAAAAGCCCCTATTAAATATGTTAAGTTTTAAAAATATTTTATTATATTTCATTATCCCTAGCTATAATTCATGTTTCAATGTATAACGTAGTATTGATACATAATTTGATATAAATATTCCTAATAGAATACAATGTTGACATATCTTATTTGAAATAAGAAAACAATGGAGTTACAATCTTAAACACGACTTAATTGGGTCATGTAAAGTAGCTTTTGTAGTATATTTTTTTGTCTTTTGATGTCTACTATAAAGGATTAGCTTAACTAACAATTACTTTAGGATATTATAAATCATCATGATACTTAAAGTTACAAACAAGAGCCATTTTATCTGGCTAAAAGCTCTTAATTTTGTAGGTAACGTGGCACGAAGCGAGGAAAAATTGTGATTCTATTGGAAAGAGACTCGTCGTATTAAAAACTAAGGAAAAGATACAACGATTTAAAGAAGCTGCTGAAAATATCTTTAGAAACAAAGGCAATTGATTGCATAAATGTTATATTTAGTTTGTATATTACAACGATGGTCATGGACTTCTTCAACGCTATAAACTGCTAGATGTTATATTGATACAAATGTTCCATAATATTATAATGCTGCATTTGTATAGTTGTAGCGAATCGCTACAATAGCGCAGGTCACGTAACGCCAATGCGCGCGCAGTCGGTCCGGCAAGCACGCGCGGCGAGCCATCATAGTCCAGTAGTGTGTGGACCAGCAACAAGTCAACTGTCCGGATAAGTACTTAAATTAAGACTATGTCTAGATAGCTTGGTAGGGGTTGGGGAAGGGTGTAGGTTAGGGTAAATAGTAATTAATTTATGTAATTTATTAGGTTCTCGAATGGTCGTGGTCTGGCAATCAACATCACCAATTTAGAATCCACATTTGCTATATCTAGTTACTTTTCACGAATTTGAGTAAGTCCAGATATGTATATTAATTTCTCTGTTCACTATATTATAGTTAGATATATTAAAGAACATAAAAGCTGGCTGTGATAGGCAGCTAAGGTAATATTGTGCACTTTGACGAGTTAGATAGTTTCCATGCAATAGAGTTGGGTAATGACAGGAAATGTGCGTGATTTGGTAGTGGTTAGAGGAAGATATATAGGGCCCAGGTATCTTCATTTACACTCATACTACTCCACATCATCACATAGTGTGAATATAAAATAGAACATAACCTACTATTTCATTCAAATCCAATTAGCCTCGGAATAGTTTATTCCTATATATTTATCCCTTATAGGTTATTGTATCTATTTCTAAAAACCGTTATTAAGTATATGCTTTCTGAAGAAGGAGGTTGCATATTTTGGAATAGGCAGATCATGCCTACGTCATATTAGTAACGTAGGTAGAATATTTTTATTGAATACAAGAGGACCCATGCTTCTCCGCAGCGTTGAAATAAATATCATATCCAAGAAATAATCAAATTTAGAGTCAGTAATACAGTATCTTGAACTTAACTGATTCAAACGATCTATAGCTCAAATTAAAGCCTATAATTTCCTGGTTATTTTGAGTCTAAAACATATAAAAAAACATAAACAATACTGGAGCTATTGATCATAGAAAACCCTTATAGAAATAATGTTTATGTTGGTTGTTCATCTTGCGTTTGCTTGTAACTCGTCCGATTTGAATAAATAATAGCTTAAATGAATCCTGGTATTTCACTGAAGGTTCTTAGACCAAAATATATAGGATTATATCATTATAACTGGTGAAATGCACCTTAAATTAGAGTACAAATTCGAAAATAAATAAAATTTATGTATTTTACAGTAGATAAATATATGCCGATGCTTGGTGTAAAATTTGTGCGTGCATACCTTCAGTTTGAGACCTCAATCATGAAAATCTGTCGAATAGCCAAACGAACTTGGAAAAGAAAAACTTTTTTTATGTACAGGGTGAGGCAATGAAAGCACCCCAATTTATAACTAGTACAAATTCAATACTATTTACCCTATACATATAAATAGCTCATCAAAACACAGCTTATCTTTTGCCATTTTAACTTAACAAAGTTATTTTCCATTTTTTTAAACAAAATCTTTTAAGTGACGTCCTTGTTCTACTTGACATTCCTTAGCAGTCACTTGAAAATGCCATTGAATATTCCTTCCAACATATCTCTAGGAATCACTTTAGTTTCTTGGAAATTAAAGAAAATCTCTAGGACAACTTTGAAAAACCTTAAATTTCAAGTAGCTTATAGAGAGAACACCCAAAAAAGCAAAGAGCCAACGTAAAGCTTCCAACAACGAAAGCATCCTGGCAAACCTCTTTAGACTTTGAGTTACTGCGACTCACACTCTTTCAACATTTGCTGGTGTACAAAGAGTTTTGCGGCACCCACAGATTATTTTTATCGTTTAAGCTTTTATCCTAAATAATTTTACCCAGTTCCCAATTGTTTTTCAATCTGGAACAACGCCATATTGGCCAAGTATGGAATTTGATCCAAACAATCTCTGGGCGTTTGCAAGAGAATCACTATTTTAAAAATAGGTTCCTACATAAAAATCTCAGTGTTACAAGCCTCGGGCACAATGTTTACTAAAATTGAATAGTTTGATTGATGTTATAAACACAGCTGTTCATTCATTGTTGCTTTACTTATAACAAGCTGTTACCCAAGGGCTTTACCCCATTTGACATCATAAGTAATAAAACTATTGATTGGTTAAGTTAACCTGAAATAAAGAAAATACAGTAAAAGAAAGAAATAATCACACCTTATCCGATAAGGTAATACATTGAAAGAATAACAAACAAACTGAGGTACAGCTGAGGTATTTTTAACATTAGGTTTATGAAAAGTTCCCTTTAGAAATGAATTACGACCTTAAAGGGTCCAATTTATGACATAATGGATAGTTTTGCGCAAGGTTTCTCGTCATGACGAACATTTTAAGTATATGGTTTATGGGGGTTTGACTTGTAGTTTTCTCAAAAACTCATAGGTACTTTTGGCTTTATATATAGATGTGACAACGAAAGAAAATCGGGATGCTCTCATTGCCTCACCCTGTATAAGATACTGTGTTTTCATCTCTAGGAGAATCTCCAAGTTCGACCTGGATAGGACTAGCAGACTGGGAGTGGGAGGATCGCTTTACATGGGTGACTGGTCAACCTCTAAGGGTAAGCGATTTCTCTGCTTGGTGGTGGAACGAGCCCAACAATAACGGTGGTCATGAGAACTGTGTACACGCAAGCCCTGAAGCCTACTATCTGCAGGGACCCAACGTTACAACCTACAACTGGAAGGACGACTCATGTCAGCTCAAGAATTTCTACTTCTGCTCTGAAGGTGATAAGATGATCATATCATATGATATAAGGTGTCAATTCACATATCAGTCCAGTCACAGTTCAGTCTCAGTTGAATCCTCAATTCAGAAGTCAGTTCGTCAGTTGGTTTCAGTCAGTCTTTCGTCACGTTATTTACAGTTATGTTGCAGTCAAAAACTTTTTATTTAAACGCAATATTCTATCAATTTGTCATCATCCATCTTGATGATTGTTATAAATAGTGCTTAAGATATAAACACGATGTGTGGTCCAACACATACTTTGCACAAGTGTCAGGCGTCCGAATATGACTGAATTGTGAGGTGCCGAATCTAATGTGTCTGAATAGACCTTAATTCATTTTGGTTGAACAGGTTTAACTTATCACAGCGTCTGAAAAACATATTTACACTTTCATAACATATTTTAAGTCATTTCATAATCGTAATTTGGTTGGCCTAATTCCCTGTATCAACATTTCCAAAAATGTTAAATGTTTTTCAAGGGACAGCAATTTTATCATACCAAACTGAACATAGAATGCAATGTTAGTTTCTTGAAATAATTAAATTATATTTATTACTTAAAAAAATACAGCATTTACGACAGTAATTATTGTAATACTAATACCACCAAAGTCCCAAACAGAAATAAATAAATATTTTTAAATTTAAACCTTACCATCAAAATAGTCAACTTATGAAATTGTATGTTACAGAATCATGAAATTCCGAAATATGTTTATTGTTCAGATTTACAAAATATATATGAATGTTACAGGAGAAACGGTGGACGGTAATTATGTCCCAGGAAATCCATGGACTAAAGTAAGTAGTTACAAAGGTTAATTAATGAGTAATTGATTTGATTAATGAAACTCTATTTTTTAAGAATATAAAAAAGTAAAACAAGGTTACGCGGAATCATATTCATACAAATAGATTATTTAATTCATTTTTTATAGTAATTAACTAGTATAAGTTGCAAATTTTGTTTAATCAAAATATTTCGCAAGTAATACGCATTATATGTTTGTTATTTACACAAAATGTAAAAGTATGTTAATCTAAACAATTCGTAAAAAGTTTTTTTTTTATTTTTGTTAGCATTCAGGTAATATACAAATAATTTTTTAACAACACGGTAGGTTACTTTTAAAATCATATTACGGAAGTATCAAGAATAAATTAACTAGGAATGATGAAAAGATTGGCTGATCTTAATTAATACAATATATATAAAGTGCTATGCAGATCCATTTACAACAATATTATAAACGGAAAAGTCAGAGAGGTCTCTGAATTTGGTCATAAACAAAACTACTGTATGAAGTTAATACAGTACTAAGCGTTAACTATTTACCAAGACTTTGACATTGGTATTAAAATAAAAATTGGTTTTCACTTTTACATTCGAAATATTATTTATGATATTTTTCAAGCAACAATATTTTAACATAATAAAAGGATGATTTTTCTATATTGGAAGATGGTTTTAATTGTTTATTTATTTCTAGGTCACATGGCAAGAAGCAAGTTACAACTGCCAAGCTAAGGGACACAAACTAGCTGTTGTATTAAATCAAGAACAGCGGAAAATGTTTGAAGAAGCCGTTGCAAGATATCTAAGAAGTTTGAGTAAGATAAAAATGCTATTTTATTTTTGATTAGTAGAAGTGTTAATTCCAAAAGCTTAGCAGTAACATATGACTAACTTATGTAGTTTCGGCGCGGTCATAAGTTTGATATTTTTACCACCCGCCCCTTTTAACATATTCTCTCGGTACTCTTTCAGATATTGAGTATTCAGTTATATTAATCAAGTTTTTACTAACACGGGCACCTCAGTTAACACATCAATGATCACAGTAAGTTATCTGTAAACGATTACACCATAAACATCACGAATATCGGTAAACATCGATTTAACAATCATTAGAAACGATTTCAGGTAGACAAATAGACTTGGTAGATTAAGGCGATGAAAATGTATATTGAATTTAAGTGAATCGAACAAAATAGGAACGTATGGTGGACTCTTCTTTCACAGTCTAGCCAAAAAACGAGTTTTGATCCAAAATGCACTCATAAAACTTTACCTCCGTACCTATTTAGTTCCATGATAAACGTTATACTACAATCATGGTCTATCCCTGCAATTTGTTCCAGGCTGCACTTACTACTGGCCACTGTGGATTGGTTTATCGTCTAAAGACAGAAAGTTTAAGTGGATTGATGGAACTGAGCTGGAGCTGCCTGATTGGTTGCCCGGAGAGCCTAACATTTCAAGCCTAACAAGAGTGTGGAGTGAGAACTGTGTGGAAGCCATGCCAGAAGAGAGCAACCGACCTCTTGGCAAACCGTATCAGTGGAACGACGGCAACTGCCCTGAGAAGAAGCAGTATTTCTGCGAAGAGGAAATCCCCAATCGTTATTAAAATTTGGAATAGTGTTAATGTTGAAATAACTTATAAAATATGACAACGTTATTTATTAAATGTATTGAACATAGCAATAAATGTTTTTCATTATTTCTGTGAGGTTATTTTATGTGTAACACGAAATGTATCTTTTAAATCATTGATCCAATATTAACAAATTAATATAGACATGTGAGATATTTTTTTTACGTTTTTGAACTAATTTTGAAAATACACATAACATCTCAACGTTACAAATATTTTTTAAAACGTTCCAATGTGAATTTGTTTTAATAATGCTTCTTTACAGCTTGATCCGACTATTCCAGTGGTTGTATGTTTTATTTTAATGTTATGTCCATTACTAAGAATATATTTTAACAGTCTTACACGTTTTTGTTTTGATACAGAAGTAGAGAAATCGTTGTACAGTGGAACCTTGATTAGAAGATCCTCGATAACAAGCCACACTTGATAACAAGTGTCATTTTCAAATCACCTTGAATTTATTTGACCCCAAATCACATGTTATTGCAAACCTCAAGAAGGAGTCAACCTTGATCACTATATAGTCTCATTTAATAATCCCCTTGAGAGTCTTGTTATCAAGGTTCTACTGTATATTATAAAGAAATAACATATATGCTACTCAGGATAGGCTTTTTTCTTGCTAAAACCACTCATTCCATACGATTCAGTCAGTATCCACGTGCTCAAAACCTATGAAGTGATATAGTTGGTATTTCAATCTAATATAATATCAATTTACAATTAATAACTGCATTTATTTTGTGTGTTTTTACGTCAGTGGCATTTTTTACGCTTTGAAAGGGAACGGTCCAAACCCTGGTCCTGTTACTACCTAACGTCGACCTTTTTGTTAGATAGCATCATTCATAGCCCAATGACAAATAGCATCTGGGTCTGGAAACGATCTCGCTTGGATTCGAACCAGCGAACTTCCGATTTGAAGGCGAGCACTATAACCACTCGGCTACCCAGACAATTAATTGCATGCCTGGAATTTGTTTGTCCATCATTAGTTAAGTTACTTTATATGATATTAAAATTTCTCAATGTCTTTTATCCTTTTGTTTAAATCTTTATGAAGACATTTTCTAAATCGAATTTACTAAAGTTTAGACGCACATTAGATTCACGATTATTAAAATGATCATAATTCAAATGACAATTAAGCAGTCAATATTTTTTGCCTATATTGACAACATGACATGAAACTGCTTTGTACATCCGTGATAATTAATTGGGTTAGGCAAGTCAATTGCAATACGCCTAATTATATTCAATCTCGTAGCCATATTTTAGATTGCTTCGATATGTTCTAAGCAAACCACCGTCGTACACTAATATTATAATCTGTACTAGCTGAACCCGGCAGACATTGTCTTGCCTTTGACTATTTATAATTTAATTATAATTTAATTAATAAATTAATTATTGTTATGCTTTGAAGAATTTTCCTAACCTAGCTTTTGTTTGTAAATGAACGTTACTGTTAGAAGATGAGTGAAATGCATAATGAAAAATATTGTTCTTAACCTCCTGTATATTGTCGGGTCAGGTAAATAGTTGAATAGTTCCATGAAAAATCTTAGATACTTCATACGTTTATGCCAACAGGAATCCCTAACAGATGGTTTAAGAAAATATACTAAAATATCAAATTTATCAACAATATGGTGATAATTCAATTTCAATTGTTCATTAATGTTAGCTTACATTGATCATTCTGGTGAATTAGGGATTGAAAAAATTACTCGAGTTCAAAACCATGTTCAAATATACCAATAAAAGTAAAAAACATCATGTAAAATAATGTAAGCACTACATGAAGTGGGAAAAGTTGTAACGTCGAGCTCTGCTCATAACACAATGTAGTTTCAGGTGGAGGAAGTTCACGTTAAATTACCTCCAGCCAGCAAACAGATTATGACACGCTGACAGAACAGAACAGTGGGGATAAATATTATCACCATAGATGTAAAAAGTTATATTAGTTTTTTTTATCAAATACCGATTATTTAACTTAGCTCTCTCCCACCCTAACGTAATCGACGTAATCCCTGAAGTACTGAGGCAATTTATTGTTAGCAAACTTTGATTTTGAAGTGGAATAAATATTTAAATGGTTATTTGTGCAACTAGTGAGCAATTGCACTTTGCACTCGAGTTGCACATTATATTTTTCCTACAGTTACCATAAAACAAATAAATTGGTAAAGAAACGTGACATATTTTTACACAGAAGTGAACTTTTAATATGACATTTAATGATACAACAGTACAACAGCTGACCAGCTGATTTACAGCCAGTGCTGCCATCGTATTTCGCGCGCTTACGACCTTGTCTGCATGTTACGCGCTCACTATTTCGTGCCTTCACGTTGCAAATCTGGAACGAGTGAGACAATGTTAACATTGTCTCACTGATGAGCGAATTGACCACTTTGCTTTCTCAAATCAGTGAGAGAACATGTACATTGTTAGGTATCTGTAGGAAAAATATATTTATTTTATATAAATTGGAATTCATACTCGCATTTTCAATCAGCAGTTATTAATTTACCAACTGTCAAAACGACATTAATCAAAAGACAGATTATTATTAACAACTATTATAACATTTTAGCATTGACTTTAAGTAGCGTAAATAAAATTACACACGTATATTGTTATAGAGAGCAAGTATTGATGAGTGTTTCGTGTTGATGTCTCATGTTTCACTTTTTTTTAAGAGTATATTTAAAAAAGTGATTCATTCTGTTTTAAAGTTACCATAACAATTGCCAATTGCAAGGTTTTAATTTAAACCATACTAAATTGAAATTCCTTTGAAATTTAAAAATAAAACCCAAAATTAGTTGTAAATAAAACGTGAATTTCCCTTATATTGCCCTTATAATCAAAATAAGCCATACCGCAATGGCTCGGTCCCCTGGAACTTGTTCTTAAATGTGCGAAAAGCTCATAATAATTTCACAATAAAACCATGAAAATGTGACAGAAGACAATAAAGAGCTTTCATTCCACTCCTTTGGTTCTCATGTTTCAACGGAGAAAATCTAATATCCCTCACATGCGCTCTTGATAATACTTGCTGCGTTTTTTTTTCAATAGTCAGTCTGCGACTGAAACAGTAGTTATTTTGAAACAATTTCAATGTTCCTTGTTACGGTGCTGTTTCTTCTTTGTGGGAATACTATTTAAAAGGCGGGTGAACAATTTAAGAAGTTGTGTTCTTGCATCGTAAGTGAAAAAAATTAAGTCTGTACGTTTACCAGACAATTTTGGAAATTGTGTGGTCATCTGTTCTGTAAAAGCTCAAATCGTTCGACTTGTAAGAAATATGCTGTTTTAGAAGTTTACAAAGACAAGTGTGAAGGCTTGAATTTTTGTCTAAGGTTGAATATCTGCCTTTTTTGTCCTAGGACTCTAGGCACGAGTTCGGAATTGTTTTTCACATTACTTCAGGCTAGACCTAGGGAATGCGGCATTATCACATAGAAAAAATCCATTGGTGATTTAGCGGGATTTGAACCCGGGACCTCTGGAACCGAAGTCCCACGCTCTAACCACTCGCTCCCTCAAATATCTGCCATAGTATTGATGTGCGTTTATATATTTACTAAGAAGCTATTAATTTTTACTTCGTTGTTTTGTAGAATTCACTAAAAGTAAATAATGATGAACGAATGTATCGTATTTCTAATCACTAATATGATGTATCTCATTAAAAACCTTGATGCGTAATATTAGTCACACGTCCCGGTAATTACGCTATATCCATTATAAGGTTGTTGATTAAGTTATTGCTAATTATACAAAGCATCGCACAGTTATTTGATTCCGCGCATGCTAATGAACAAAGCAATATCATGTAAATTGATACTTGATATGGAAGCATCAACCACCATTGGGAATTACACACGTTTAATTGTAAATTCAGATTATGTTACTTCAAATGCTTGTTGGTTGGTTAAACTATTCCATAATCAAATTACCTTTACCATAATAATAGCTGATATCCCATTTTTTTGGTGTTCATAATTAACATTGACTATACACAGAATAGACTTCTCTTGTAATGTAAAACATTGAAGCCAAAAACCCTGGTGCAATCTGTTGAGATAGTCAACTATTGGCAATATTTTGTTTCAAGTGATAAATCAATCAATTTGCTATAAGACTGAATTGTTTTTATATTTTACCTAATACACTAGTACCCACTAGTGAGATGGTCCTGAACTTCTATTTTCTAGGCTTCAAATTTAGGTCTAATCTGTGTACGGTCAATGGTATCAATAAATAAGTAGGTTAGGAAAACATTATTATCATCAACTCAGATACAGAATCTTAGGGTCAACACTGTCTGTGACTAATCAGAACCCATTTCTATCGTTATTATCGCTTGCGAAGAACCAGTCTGATAGAGTTCAAGGTCAACGTCAAGGACTTCGCTCTCACGACTTGGTTTTCCTGGTCGGGAACCTCAGTATAATCGCAAACTTATACTGACGCGATGTCCAGTGAGTGTTGACGTTGTGAACAATGTTGCGATCGGTCTACCCGATTTTCTGTTTAGTATTAGGTAGGTTTTTGGGTCAAAGAGAGCACGTTTTACTCATACAATAGTTATTAACAGTGATAGCTTTAGAATGGCCTAATAAAATTACTATCAAATTAGGATAAACCGGTTAAGTTGTGTTTGTTTCCTCATGGCTAAACTGAAGGGATTTTCCGATCGTTTTTGCTCTCTTCTCAGTGGATTAAATTGTTTTAGTTTGTCAGTTTAAAAATATTTATAGGTTAGGTAATAGTAGTTTACGCAACCATTGCGTTATGTTGGTCTTTACGACACGAGTAGAAAACTTAAGGCACGAGCCTTGGCGAGTGCCTTAAAAACTTCCACGAGTGTCGTAAAGACTATTAACGCGAGTTGCGTACACTACTTTACCTACGACAGTTTTTTAATTACTAACAATCTGGTTTTTAGTTACTAACAATCACTACTCATAACTTCTTAGAGAGGTTATGTTTTCGTTTATTGTCAGTGCCACTGAAAGTGATGCAACGACTTATTGTATAATCAGCT